GCGTTTGGGACGCTGAGACGGTGGAAGAAAGAGCTTGATCAGGCGAGGGTTGGGCAGGGCGGTTCTGGTGTCGGGGTCGGTGGTGCCGGTGGTGTTGCTGGAGGAGGTGGTGTTGGACAGGGAACCGGGGTGGGGGGCACGGCGTCGACGCGTGAGTGTAGGGGTGGCCGGGGGTTCGGTGGAAGTGTTGCTGACCTTGTGGTAGCGGCGGCGACGGATTCGAACGCGAACCTTGTGCCGGCGAGTGACCCGCTGCAGGATATCGACTGGTCGATGCTCATGGACGATTTTGACTGGACGGCTGGGGGTGGGGGAGAGCCGAATTTCCTTGGTCTTTCATAGTAGGCGTCGTTGTGTTTGTGAGAAATGCGGCTAACGTGCGCGTGTGTGTTCACTCCATAATTTCTTCCCTGTTTTTCTTTCTCATCTTCTTCAAGCAAGCCGGAGCATTTTGGTGGCTGGATATCTTTGCATCATTTTGGGACGTATGTTGGGGGAGGGGGGGGGGGGGCTATATTACTTGAGAAGGGGTGCTGAAGGTTGGCGTTCATATTGTCGTACAAAAGAACAGACTGAGCAACACTTAATGTTACCATGTTAAACTGAGAATGATTCGAAGCTATGATGCTGTATGGAGCACGTCCGACTCACGTCATCTCACTCTATCCTCCCAGTGCTCCAGATATTCAGCCCGACCTTGACGCCTTTTATGACTGGCAGTCCGGCGTGCCACGTCTCGTCATACCCGGCACCGCTCCCATCAGCCCGGAAGTTCTCCCAGTATACCGCGTTGCCCGGAACAGGCTTGAAGGTAGTCCCCTTGGCCTCCTCGTCACCTCCCATCTTCTTCTCATCACCACCATCACTAGCTTGATCACCATCCCTCCCTCCACACTCCACAAACCGACACCAAACCTCCTTCTTCAACCCCGGAACCTCCAACAACGGAAACTCCGTCCCGCCACCAACCAAGCCATCCCCGTTCCCCGTCCCAGGTGGCACCTCGTTCTCGTCCTCGCCGCGCGCGTCAACCCACGCCATCATACTACTCACCCGCCCCCACCCGCCGCGGTTGGCGGTCCAGTCGAAATGATACGAGTAGTGCCCGCCTTCGACGTACCGCTGCGTCCGCAGCCTCTCGATCCAGAGGTCCTCGCGCCAGCCCTGGAGGGCGCGAGCGCGGGCCTCGATGCAGCGGACCGTGTCGTCTCGCGGGAGGAGGGCGACGTCGGAGGAGCGGATGGAGGTGTCGCGGTGGGTGTTTGCGCCGTTGTGGGTTATTGTTGAGGGTTCGAAGATGGGGTTGCTGGTGAGGTGTGTGTGAGTGAGTGAGATGAGTTTGAGATGAGTTTGGGGTGAGGTGAGATGAGATATGAGTTGAGATTGAGTGTTGGGCGAGTGGGAAGCTTATGAGAAAGCATGGATTCATCTTCCTCATCTTCAATTGTAACCAAGGTTCCGGATGCGTGTGTGACGCGACACGAAATAGGGAAGGCAAAATACATGCATGTAATAAAACAACATACCTAACCTCAAGTAGATGCATCCTTTCCTCCACACTCAAAAACCCTTCGATATACAACACCAACGGCTCCTTGGAAAAGATGCGCACAGAGTAGTCGTCGGGTGGGCACGACAGAGCCGTGGCGTTGGGATGTTCGATGGCGAGAAGGGACTCGTTCATCTGCGGTCGGGGCGTGCGGGCCACCCGGCTCCGGCCTGTGCTGCTTCGGCCGCCGGATGTTGACGCCGGGGAGAAGAAGTCGACGAGGGGGTCGGAGAAGAAGATGAGGAATGCCACGAGGGCGATGACGTAGGAGATCATTGTTGGGTTGGTGTGAGATGCATTGGTGGCTTCAGAATTGTCAATTGGGAGTTGATTGGGTGTGACTTCCTTTGAGACGAACAGAAAGCCAAGGTGAAGAAACGAACAATGTCGTTGGGATAATCAGGCGACTTTCATGTTGGAGGCTTCCGCGTCGCCCGCGTTCTGCGGTGTTGGTTGTCAAGGAGGGCTCCGCCACAGCCGGGCCGTGCAAATCCGCGACACACTGTAGGAACATGACCATATTGGACGCGAGATGACCCTTATTTCATCTTCAACTACCTCGCGTGGTATTACTTAATCACATACAATTACCACAATGAACCAAAAAAGAGTTCACCCCCCCGGTGGCGAATGGGGGCTACATCTCTTGGTGCACATGCTGGGATTCGAACTCGGGTACTCGCTAAGCCTGTCGTCGAGTAGGCTGGTTGGCGTATAAATTGAATGTTGACCATGAACCATTCCACCACCCAGCCAGTTTGACCTGACCCCCGACCTAGAGGGCGCCTGCTGGCTGGTGACAGGAATGGAAATGAGGAGGTCTATATACCCATCAAGGTAAGGCGGTAAGGCACGGTAGGTAAGGTGGTGGTATATTCCAGATGTCCAGGTGTGTATTCTACTGCTTCTTCTTCTCACCAACATCCGCCCCGCTACGCCTTCCATATCCCGTCTTGGAGTACGCCGCCATGAGCCTCCACAGAACCCACGCAAACCCAACAACTACCGCAGCCGCCGTCCCGACGCGAACCCACTCTGCCTGCCCGGCCTCGAGAACAGGCACGCGTACGGTGCTCGTGAGCCGACCTCCGTCTCGTCCGGCAGCGGGTCGCGGCTCCACGTGCCAAAACACCGTCCTCGGTCCGAACAACGCGTCATATCCGAGATTCACCCTCTCAAACGGACTGCTCGGGAACTTTGTCCCCTCTTCGGACGAGCACGCCCAGAAGACGGCCGGGTAGGGCACCTCTACCTCGGTGTACCCGCCCAGCGCGGGCTCCAGATATCGGAGGTGCAGCGGGACCTCCGCCGTCCACTCTTGGTTCGTCTTCCCCTCTCCTGTCGTCGTTGGCGGCGCGAGCTCGAGAAGGACACCGGAGCCCCATGGCTTTGTGGCGTACGCGGGCGCCTCAAGATCCACGGGCGCGCTGGCGTAGCGCAGGGCAGTCAGGTTCTTGGACTTGAGGAACAGGTCGTCGGCGAGCTGGTAGCGGTCCGCAAAGATAGTTTTCGGTAGCGTGAGGTGCGCGTGGATGGCACAGTAGGCATCCCCCACCGGCGGCTCAGCCGAGTCGAAGCGCAGCTGCAGTGTCGGGTGCAGGCCCGTCGGCTCGAGGAACGTTGCAGAGAAGGAGCTGGCGCGTTGCGACCCCTCGTCTCCCGAGTCCGAATGCAGCCGGTGGCGGGCAGGCACGTTGAAGAGGACGGGCGCGGGCTTCTTGTGCTCGCCGAGGACGGTGAGGCCGCCCGCCATGCCGATCTCGTGCGGCTCCGGCTTCGCGGTGGAGTCGGTTGTGAGGATGCCGACCTCGGTCCTGTGGTTCGGTGTCGAGGCGACGGCGACGCGGTGTTTGCCGTAGGGCCATTGTGCCGTCAGCTTGAGGGCGTGCGAGATTGTGTCGTAGGATATGTCAAAGGATGCCGCCGTCTTGAGGTCCTCTGCGCGGGACTTGCAGTTCGCGTCAGATGCCGAGCAGAGCTTCTCGGCTGTGTACTGGCTGAATGCGGCGAGGTTATCTAGGGGCTCGTAGTATTGGAGTGCTGCGGAGTGAGAGAACCTATCGTTGGGGAGGGTTGTGAATGACTTTGTTTGACAGAGTTAGTCTTGATGATCTTGCCTGGTTGAGTGTGACCTCGGGAGGAGAATTGTCTGGAAGTATAGCTTACCTCTGACGACGTACAACTGCTCCCACCAAAGGCATCCTTGAGAGCCGTGCAAAGTCTTGTCCTTTATCTCATGTGAGTTTTCCTTATGTTGCCCAGACGATACCCTCTGATTGAGACTCACGCGTCCCATTTGATCTCCTCCTTCTTTGGCGTATAAAACAGATGGAAACCTGGTGATACCCTCGAAGCCAAAGGGCCAATAGTGTCATAGGCGAACGGGCTAACCCATCTAATGTGTAGCTCATGACTCTCACTCAGAAGCTGGGATAGCTCAGAGGGAAGCTCCTCAAGGGCCAAGGTTATTCTATCTTCCCTGACAGATAAGAGCTCGGGACCCTTTACGCCGGCATCGCTAATCTCAAGAGACTCCGGAGGCGCGCCGTCACTGGGCTTATGAATGAAGGTGATTCGCTGACGCATGTTGTACGATGACCTACGCAATCTCGCTGCAGACTGGGGCAAGTGAGTTCCGCTTCAATGTATCCGTAAACGCTCTGAATATTACCAGAAGATAAGTAAACGAGATGCAAGGTGGTAAGGTCAATGAAAGTGGATTCTCCGGTGACGTGAACGGGTTGGTGTGATCAGTGAGTGAACAGTGTGCTCGGATGGGTCCGTTGGCATCGATGTCGGAGCTGGAGACCCGTTGCTGAGGACACTTCGCTCGGTGCCGAATCCAGGGACATCCACTGACTCCACCCAAGCTTCTGGTGTAGGTAGGTGCTGCCTATCTGAGGCACTAGCCACACTCAGCCACAACATACTAAACATGTACAGGATTATATAAGCCAGCTCAGCACGTGTAGGGGCTAAAACTAGACCCATACTTTCACGAGTCCAGCCCGCCCTGCCACATTCGGTCACCGGCTCATCAGCCACGCTAAGCCGTTTTAGCTACCGAAGCTGGCGCGGAGTGGGATGCCCCTCCAACCCCGTCCGCCTTCCGTCGACCGAGACGAACGGGGCCTCGTCGAAAGACACCGCCGACGACATCTTTTCTCTTATTTTTCCCTCTCTCACAACCCAAAGGCTCTTTTTTGCTGTACCTGACGATGCATCAGACGTCACTACGATTTCTACAGACCATTTGGCTTCCACGGCCCTCCTAGCACATTTGGTTTTTTTCCGTGTCACTATTTACATCTCATGAATACTCAAATTGTGGTAAAAGAGACATCCGGCGCCGTGTTTCACTATTTGGCCACGAAAGCGCGTATAACTGCAACCTGGATACCTAAATATCGACTCATAGATTGGCCAAGGCTTGCTTCGAAAGCCAGTGAACATGGGCGATCACCAGCCGTATGTGACCATTCGGTCTCGGCGACCCCATGACGGGAACAGCGTGAGCAGTGCAGACTCAACTGTAGGTGCCAGGGTCTCGGCGATCCAATCGCGCAGAGTACGTGTAGACTCACAGGCCGACCATGATCAGTACGGTTCCAGCTCCGGCGATGCGCCTCGGCCCGCCACACATGATATCAGCCGCGTGAGCTATCACGTCAAGCACCTCGATAGCTTCGCTCAGACCTTGGAGAATGTAAGTTGAAAGATGAAGTGACGAGGCTAGGTTATGTGGTCCAGGTCACATACTGACACTTCATCCACAAAGTCTGCAAACCGAGCATTTCCGAACCGCGGAAAATCGTCACAGCGGTATTCAAAGGTGCAGGCCTTGCTCCTGCATTGGGGCTGTGATGACCTTTTTGTGTTACCTGAGCTGGAGGACCTGGAACGGTGCCTCCGCGAGGATTATGCCTTTGGCACGGAAAAATTTCCTATACCGTCCGAGAACTCACATTTAGAGCTCATGATGCAGGTCGGTAAGCTGATCAAGGACCACGAGGCTCAAGACACGCTCTTTTTAGTCTACTACGGCGGCCATGCCAGGATAGATGAGTCTCTTCAGAGCACTTGGTGCGCGTAAGTCTGCAGCATTATCTCATCTCCATCACTCATATTCTCACAAATTCATTAGCACTCGACATCCCGACTCGCCATGGCTCCAGTGGTCTGCCATTCAGACCTTGCTAGAGCGCTCGGCATCCGACGTTCTCATCCTCCTCGACTGCTGCGCGGGAGCGGCGAGCGCAACGTTCCCCAACGGCAACAGCATCACCGAGACCATCTCCGCCTCGAGCTGGGACGCCATCGCCCCAGATCCGGGCCGCTACTCCTTCACAAACGCCCTCATTGAGGTAATGCAGGAGTGGAGGCTCCGCACCTTTTCCGCGGCCATGCTGCACGCCGAGGTCCTCGCCCGCCTAAAGCACCCGCGCCCCGTCAACATCAACGGCAAGGTCTTCGAGGCCAGGTCGACGCCAGTTCACTTCATGATGACGTCGAACCACAAGGCGCCGAGCATCGAGTTGTCCCGGGTCGTGCCGGCTGAGCAGCGGCCGCCATCGCCGCCATTGGATGCCGCGATCACTGCAGACGAGAGCGGATCGCCCGAGGGGATGATAGGTGGGCGAGGGCCTGGCGCACCAATGGCAGGGGAGCCGAATGAGGATACGCCGCATGTCATGATCTCGCTGGCGCTGGAAGACAATCAGCAATTGGATCTGAGCGCCTGGGAGCAGTGGTTATCCAACTTCCCAGCCCTGGCAAAGTACGTCAAAGTCCAGGGGGTATTCAAGAGTCATTCCACATTGCTCCTCTTATCTATGCCAGTCATGGTGTGGGATCTCCTGCCAGAGGACCATGCAACCTCATTCATAGCCTTCATTCGTTCCAATAACCTAGTGTCAGAGAGGAGTCGCAAGGACGAAGAGGCTAGGGTGGATGTTCCGGTGAGCCGAGGCGCACTTATAGCGCATGACAACACACAACCGGACTCCGCGTCGATGGGCACATTTTTCTCGGAAGTCACATACACGAATGCTCCAACGATAACAGGCAGCGTCGTAGGGACGCAAGTGAGAGGCAGTGAACCAAACGTGAGAGTAAACGAAGGAGGACAGACCAACATCCAGGAGCTAGACGCTGAATCACCATTATCGTCGCCAATCGTCAGACCATCGCGGCCCCTTCAGTCGCCAAACTCAACAGCTTCGATTGGAACCCTACAACGGCACCACACCTCATCTTCTCAAGTATCATCGGATAGGGCACCAATATCCAGATCCATGATTCCGAACCAGCAGAGAAGCGCGCGGAGAACCATGTTACACGATATCCCAGAACCGCCCAAATTCTCACAGCATGTTGAAATCCTGCTTCAACAGTACTACAAGCAAGAGCCGTTGCCAAACGATGATCAAAAGAACTTTGTTGCCTCAAATTTGGGCATAGAGCTGTGGCACGTCGAGGTAGGCTTCATCATCCACACTGTCGCGTATTCAGAATAGCATAGTAACTGTAGTAGGCCTGGTTCCATCACCGGCGGGAACGGGATGTCGTCTCGAAGCAATTCCAAACCCTTAGAATGGGCGGTGGCCCAACCTCAGAAGCATACCAGGGAGCTCAGATGATACTGCCGCATCACCTTCAAAGAATCATCGAGGTCCTTTCTTCTAGCAGGATCCTAATGATTGATCTCCGTCCTCCAGCAGACTTTGAGAAGTCTCACATCATGGGAGCAATCAACCTCCGCGCACCCTTAAACTTTATCAAAGAAGCCTCGTTTGACATGATCGAGCGAGCGTTCCCAGACCAACGCAGCAGACAGGTCTTTGGCGAGTGGCAGTCCACCACATGCATGGTCATCTACGACCGCGTCATAGACGCCTCACGGGACTGCCCGTTAGCCGATACCCTCTACGACAAGTTCAGGACCTGGGGCTGGCCAGGCAGGTGCTTCGTTCTCAAAGGCCACTACAAGGAGTTCAACGTCTCGTACAAGACTTCCATCACCGGGTCCAAGGTGTCGGGCGAGGCAGGGCATCAGCAGCAGCAGCAGCAGCAGCAGCAGCAAAACCCGGATCCCCTCCGCCAAGAGACATCGGCGGCCGCACCGTCAGAGACTGATGACGCGGCGGCGAGGAGAGCGCAGTACCAGGAACTGCTGACTCAAATCGACGACGAGGGAATAGTCGCCAGCAGTAGCAGTAACAATAGCAGCGGCTACTACACCTCGTCGTCGAGGCCCGATCCCAACCACGACCACGACCCGTCGGCTGCTAGCTCGGGCCGCGGCGCGCGAGCCACGACGAGCCAGCATGAACGAGACCTCGAAGCCGAGTTCCGGCGTCGCGTCCCGGACCTCTACCGCAAAGCCCTGGAAGTCCATGACAACAACGGTAGTGGCGGAGGCCGGGCTGCCGAGACGCCGCGCGACACTCCCGCCTCTGCGCCCGCCCCTGGCGCTGCTTCTGATGACACTGGCAATGGCGGTGGCGGTGGGGGGACAGGAATAGCAGAAACGGTGACGGGTACAGCAGCAGGAGCCAAATCATCAGAGGAAGCAGCGACAGGAACAGCGACGAGATGGGACGGCGGCTCTGCCTTGCGACGAGGTGGAGGTGGAGGTGGCAATGCCAACACCACCGACGGGGAGGAGGACAGGAACAGTACCACAACCTTTGGATTCGACACAAAGGCGCCGCTGGTCGAGTATCTCGACAGAGGCCTCTCCCACATCCGGCAAGGGAAACCCGTCACGTCCGCCGCGAGTGACAGCTGGCGACCCATCGACGTGGCCCCGACCTCTTCGTCGTCGTCGCTGTCGCTGTCGTTGACAAACACCACCAACACCGCGATTGGTGGGATGTCGAAACTTGCCGCGGAGGGCTGTCATGCCCACTTTGACTCAGGGGCCGCCGTCGCCCTCGCCACGCCGCTGGGTTCTTCAGATGATTCTTATGTGAAGATCAGCAGGGGAGATGCGCAGTACGCGGGCGATCTCCCTGCTCGTCTTGGTAGCCCCCCGAACCCGGGCCATCAACACCAGCAGTACCATCACCATCACCGCCAGAACCAGAACCAGAACCAGCACCGCGGCGGCTTCGTCGGAGGAAAAGACGGGACGATGAGGGATGCCCACGTCGTCGTTGGTCCGTCCGGGGATGAAACGCCCAAAAGGGGCCGGGGCGGTTTCCTGAATAAGGTTCTGCGAAGGGCATAAACGTTGAAAGCGTGCTTGCCCCTGGTTCAGGTGTCATGGTTTTCTGTAGAGTTGAAGAGGGGGGGGGGGGGACTTCTTTTCCCGAACATGGGGCTGGCTTGGAGGGCCAGAGGGGAAAAGGGGAAAAAAAGATGTGATGCTCGTGGGCGTTCGTCTCAGGAACCCTTTTTCATCTCGCGAGCTGGCGTCTTTTTTCGGACTTTTGGTTTTGGACGGAAAGTTGTATGGCGTGTATGGTGTGTGCGTGTCAATGTCGATGGTCAGGGCATAACCAAGCAAGAGCCCGTCAATGGAGGAGAGTTGGGCTGGGAACCATCTGTGGATACACACAACATGCGATGCTATTCGCGACACACCACCACCACCACCATCTCCTTCTCCTCTGTTTTCACTTTGGGCTTTCTAGATTGAGCGTTTCTTTCCCCCTGGTTCGATGTTTTGGGATCAGGGGCAAATTTCTAGTTGGCATTGATGGCAAGACTGTAGATGAGCATACTTTGGTTTGGTTTGATACCGGTCTGGAGTAAGCAGTTTGTTCTTGGTGGGTGCCCCGTCAGCCCTTGGTGTTCAAACCAGTTCGGAGAGGGAGAGATTTCACCTTCACACAAGCAGGCGAGTGCGGGTTGGATGGTGGCAATGATGTTCGGAAACCGGAGTATCGTAGTTTATCGGACATGGACCACATTAGGACAAGATAATCAGTATGTATGTAGCGTAACAGAAGCAACAGCAGCATAACCTGGTCACAGCCTTGTAAGGTGTTCCCCTTCTTCGTCTTATTCTGTTTCCCGTGTGCTAAGCTTCACTCTATCTCGCTACCCCTCCATGTTGTATCGTGTATCTGTGTATGGTGGCATATGTTGGCCCCTTCAACCCGTCCATGCTCCCTCGCTTTCGCGCCTCTGCCTGCTTTCGTCTCTTCTTTACGAATCTGATAGTCACAGTGTCGTTTGGAGATATTGGCGAGAACAACGCTCCTGCCTGTTTCTCCAAGGGGAGGGGGTGTTGGGTTTGGAAGTTGGGTTTGGTGGTTGAACGGACGGACGTTCGACACAAAGGCCAGGGGGCATGATGGAAGAGACGGACGAGAGAGACAGATACAGAGAGAGATGCGATGGAAAGGGTCACCCCTCATCCTTCTCCGCCAGCACGCAGCGTATGCACCTCTCAATTCCCCATGGATCACCCCTTCTCCGCGACCCTTTCTTCCCGTCTCTTCGGGATGTTTCTGTCTAGGCTTTTCGTTCAGGCATACAAGGGGGAACAAGAGTCCGACATCCAGACCAGGCTCAAACTCAGACTCAATACCAGACAGACCCGGCAAAGGCCTTGTAGCACCGTTCGTCTCGAACAGAAATGTCAAATACTTTTTTTCCCACTTGGTACGTGCCAGCCCTTGACGTTTTGGAAAAATCCGCAGTTTCTCAATGCTATCCATTCTTTTTTTCTTTTCTGCTTAGTATCTCTCTCCCCTATTTTTTCCCCTTTGGACAGCACTCCCCTTCCTAACCTTTTGCCCCCTTGAACCCGGAAGCTCGGGTATCACGTCATCCATTCCTGATCATGGTTTTTGCTATGCTTTAAGGACCCCCAACTCAACAGCAAAGACACATACGCAAGCACAGAGAACGACTGAGAGGCAAGAGAGAAACAGCAAGTCGCACCAAGGCAGGCATACCCTTTGCCGATTCTAGTCGGGCTTACCCATGCCTTGTCTTATTTGTCAAAAGGTCCGGACGGAGTTGGTTGGAAAAAAGGGGGCATACAGGGAAAATCTCCAACGTAAGGAGAACGAAGGAGGGGAGGGAGGTTTACCCGAGTCTACCTACTCTACAGGGTTGCAGCAGTTACAGTGAGTGGTTGATCATAGATCTGTGGCGAGAGATAATCAACGTAGATCCCCTTGTTTCCTATACTACAAACTGCCGTTTTGTTTATAACATGGTTTTTCTTAGTTCCAATATATTGGCTCAGCTTGTGGTAGTGAACGGTGCTCAGGCATTGGGAACCTCGCTGCTGTTATCAGGTACTTCATACCTAGTACAGCTGGAAAATAGTAGACGAGGAAAGAGAGAAACATCACGAGTAGCTGGTTGGTCGCCTCTGGGGGAAGAGGGGAGAAACTGGTGTCCGATCCGAAGATATGCAGGTTTCGATCTCATGTGTGCAAATCAACCTACGGCACTTTAGTCTCACAATCGTCCGAGTAGGGAGATGCTCAACGGTCAGTCGCGAGCGGTTGTACCTGGTCTGATGTCTGCTCGCGTGTGGTGTCCAAGAGTACAGGAGACATACACTAGTCTCAGCGGGCGTTTGCCAGGTATGGGCAAGTTTCTATCGCATGGCAATGGAGAGGAGGTTGGGCAAGGACGAACGTCCGGGGGGGGGGGGGGGCGCCGCCGCCACCGTCAGCAAGCAGCAGCAGCAGCATTAGTCGCAGCAAGTCAGAGCGAGAGAGAGCGCGCGCGCGGGATCATCTGTGTGCCTGCTGCCTTCTCATGTTCTTGCCGAGCTGCCTGTCAAGTGGAAGGGACGACCTGACCAATCCAAAGCTCGGCAAGACGAAGGTCAATCACGGGCGTTCTTCTTCAGATCAACGAGACGAAAGTGACAAATCGCTCTGACGCCGGGTGTCAAAAAACGTCCATAGTTGACAGGTAGGCGCAGCAGGGCAAGGCAAGCATAACGTGCGAGCGGCCCCGAAGAGACGGGTCGGGTTGGACGGTTGGCTCGTTAGTGGTGGTGTCGTCGTCTTTGTGACAAGCTTCACCTCAAGATACTCTACGGATACACACACTCTCTCGCTCGCAGGATATCGTCCAGAAGAGGCAAACAGGTCAGTGACTTTTGTCTACACGAGCGTGCGGGCGGGGAGAGAGGGACTGATGTTTCTTCTTTCGCGACATGTCCAAAGGGGAGGGGGTGCGGTGGGCGTGGCGCAGTCCGTCAACTCGGTCCCCAACGTTTGCTGTCAAAAAGAGATTTTAGAGAATGCGACTGGTTGGCAGATGTGACAAGTCGTCGGGCCCCCTTCTGTCTTCTGCTGCCATGCCAAATTCTGAGAAGGGCGTGAATGGGGTTGGTGGGTTGCGTAGTGTGGTGTAGGTAGGGATCCTACAAGCAGCAAGATCCTGTAGGTTGCAAACCGTCCCATTTTCCAGAAAGGAAAAAGAAAAGAAACAGAGGAGAGAAGGCAGACCCCCCATCCCTGCCTGCATCACGGACGGAGAAGAAGGGGGAGAGTCAGCGAGAGTACCCGAACATCGACAGACGGTGGTTTGACAGCGGGTCATAGATATGCACGACATAACATCATGACGAGAATCCGAAGGGAAACGGAGACAAATCAGAAGGCGGATAACTCGAGGTCAACGTGGTGAAGAAACAATTCCGCGCCCGCTTTGGTACTCCGACAGGTTCTGGAGTTTCTCTCTAGATTCCGTGCGCTGTGTCTGCTGCTGTACGCTACGTTCGAGCCCATCTATCGGGAAGAGAAACGAATCTCTGCATGCTGAGTTCCCCTTGCCCTGTTGTCTCCTCTTCTAGTTTTCTTCTCTCCGCACGACGCTCGTTGTCAGAAGAAGGGAGACAATGTATGAGAAATGTCAAATTTCGCTGTCGTCGGGAATTCGCATCCAGACCTTGGATGCGAGAACGGAATGCGATTCGCTCGCCAGAAATCGTGACAGGTGCTAGGGTACACCCTGGTACGCCGGGGGAGGAGTTCCCAGCCCCAAAATGAAGTGGTTTTTTTTTTACGATTTGACAGGGCGCTTGGACCATGTTAAGGCTGGGTTCAAGCTCCAGGGGACGATAGATGGGAGGGGATGAGGAAGCGGATGGAGAGTGGACTGGATAGATGAAGACAAGGAGTCTTTTGGGTACGATGTAGGGATTGTTGATGAGCATCGCCATCCGGCTCTGGAGTCTGGCACTGGCCCTGGCCGCTCTTCCCTGTGCCTGTCCTTCTCCTGTCTCCCCCCCTTCTACTCATCGATCTTGATTACAATCATTTTGGGGGCCCTTGGAGTCCCTTCCAGTTGCAACATCATCCATATTCGTATGCACGAATACACCAGAATTGGCAGATTGGAAGCCAACAGTCGGCTGGCTGGCCGGGATCAGATCAAGGCAAACGGGTGGAGAACGGGCATCGAATTCTGGCACCGGTCGGACCTGCCTGTTCAGTTTCAGATGTCCGGAAGCAACGCCAGAAGATTGCCAATTGAGCACGGCTTCCGGGATAAGGTCTGCCGCGAAGAACAAGCCCAGAATTTCTACCTGCGGTCATTGTCCGCGGGGCGAGTTAACAAGTTGCGAGTGGATGAGATTCCTGACAAGCCCCATGTTTCCCTTCGGCCCTCAGGGGCCGGGAAGCCAATGTGTGAGCCCTTCGTGCCCTTCTGCCTTTTCAGATCCCTGCTGGTCACGCCAGTCTTGCGTCCAGCATTATGAGGGTTGCTCCCCCAAGCCTGGCTGATCCATGGTTATGACGGGGAGCATGGTGTCGGCAGAAGGCATGTTTGGATGTTAAACCTCCTAGCCACTTTGCCACCCCACTCGAATCGTCCTAGTCCGATCCATCAGCGTTGGATCTGGTGGTCCCCTTGCGGCTGTCAAACTTGACAGATCCCCTTTACAATTTGGTCGCCAGTGGGGAGAACCGAGGCCGATAATCGATATGACTCCCACCGTCGAGGGGTGCAGATGGAGCTTCCGACCAGGTCTGGCAATAAGACCTTCTGTGCCGGCGGGAAATGACTTCATAATGAGCCCAGATATCTCGTCAAACTGTCCTTTAACACGCTCCTAGTGGGGTTCCAATATCTGCCGATTCCCAATAATCTTTCTGCGATTCTTTCAACCTTGCGACCGCCGCTTGGATCTGGGCCTGGACTTGCACTATGCACCTTGTCAAATGTAAAGGTATGCACGTCGCTGGCTCGGGACTCGGGAGTCGAGTCGGGAGCCTTGCGCCCGGCACGCCTTGCTCGAGATCTCATCGAACCCAAAATTCCCTTCCATTGCCAATTCCCCCCTCAACCGATTGAAAAGTGTCACCGAAATAATCCTGAGTTGTGCCCGATAAAATATGCTTTTGCCCCTGTAGGATGTTGACAGGCTGTGGTTGTGACGGCATCGGAGCCGCAAACTCTCCACAACAACGTCTGCGCCTGCCTTTCACAGAACAGACGATGTGACTGCCCATTCTGGCGCTGCTGTCCTCTTCCCGCTGCGACGCTACCGCTGGGCGTTGACGGTTGCTGTCACCCTAAAGGTTCGCGCTTGACATGCGGAGCAGAAAGGCGGCTGCATCAACTGACGTTGCCGACAGCTCGACGTTGCCGCAGCCGAACTTCTGTGGAAGAGAGTGTAGGTCCAGTCTGAATGGAACTACCGGTTGGTGGACCTCATGATCTCCATTTGATATGTCTGTGTCACTTCCAGGGCGCCCTGAGGAGCAAGGCCCGTACATGATGTATCCAGCACGGCCGCCCCAAGGCGGCTGTGTTACTCAATAAGGAGCAGCTTGCGCGACGCGATACACGGGGCCGTGACCAGGGTCACCACAGCCCAAAGATCCGATCTGGGTGTTCCAGAGAAGAAAATATCGTCACGACTTCTACTCGCGAGGTACAGGTGATGCCCGTCTTCGTAAAGGATCCACTGAATCCCCAGGTCCACGGGATGGTTGGACAATATGACTTGTCTTGATTGCACCAAGAGATTCCAAAGCGGCGTAGGGCCCATTTGGAAGCCTGCATCTTGTACGACGTGCCTGACTGTAAATGAAAGGTTGGGCCAAGCTGGTGGTGATGCCGGCGAATCCCGCCTGTGCAATACGGTGGTGTCTTCCATGTCCAACGTGAAAACGAGCCGTTGACGGCTTTACGTTCACGAAGCCCATGGTGAAAGCCGTTTGGCCCAGTTAGAGGCATAGCAAATATGAGTTGCTATTGATAGGAGAAATTGGGTGTTCGAAAAGGCTGTCGAATCGACTCAAGGGAGCCCTGTCCTCGAAAAGCGGAAATCGTCAGATGGCAGACGCTTGTATCCGAATATCCGACAGACCCATTAGTCTAGATTATGACAATCTGTAGAACCTGGATCGAAATTATATTAGCCTTTACTGGTCAATAGCGTGGTAGTCATTCGACATTCTCTCGTCCTCAAAATCCATCACTGATCAGAAGCATGCAGGAAACCGGTGGGACGTCGGCCATAGTCCACATTCGAAAAGCAAAGCATCTGGCTTATCGGTCGTAGATCATGCGAGAGCATGCTTCATCTTGCAGCAAACTGCTAGAAGGAATCTTGCAAAAAAGCAAAACTTTCGGTGCTGTTCGAGTTGCTAGCTATCTATGAGGTTGTACTTCGTACTGTACCAACTATACTCTGAAGACAACCCGAGTTCCACAAATGGTCTCCAGATCCCAGGAACTAATTGTGGCTAGACCGATCAGTTATACGGCTTGGTCATGGCTATATTCTGTATCCAACTGGCGGACATTTGACCCAGCCTCTTGGGCACACTGCGAAGACATACTGACGCAACAGAACAGAATGTGCACAGATAACTCTGTTACGAGTTGAAGGTTCCGCAGAGTACAAGACACGCTGAGCTCTGTCCCGACTGAAGACCGAAAACAAGCACGGACTCTGTGTCATGTGGACGAGAAGCTGCCAGATGACAGGCTATAACACGAGTCTTGGTAACACGCCGGTTGCGGTATGTTACTGCACGTCGTCCTGTCGTACAGCCGTCCTTCCAGTTGATGAGCTACTGATGTAGAGAGCCGTTGTGCTTGTTAGTAGTTACCGACGCCGTGAGTAACAGCAGTGTTAGGAGTCAAGGGTGTATCGCAGACTGGGAGTCCTCGACTATTTGCCTAGAACAGGTAAACCATGCGGCTGGTTCCAGGGACCACAACTGTGCAGCACAGTCAACTCGTCAAGCCCGTCTTTGCGAGACCGACTTGACCTCAGCGGTTCGCAAGAGGCGCGAGCAAGGGGTTCTGGCCACAATAGAATAAAGGCCCGCCCATAGGCCCAACCTGAATGAGCGGGTCATTGAGGCGGTGATTGTTGGCATGAGGTGTCAGACCGGAAGGGTGCGGCTCATCCACATTTGACAGGCGATGGAGGATTGCTACTGCAAGATTATCGATCTTGCCACGATTCACTGGCGCGGTCCTGTCATCCAGCTCCAGGGTCGTCGAACAATTGTTGGTCTCTCCACGGCAGCGTGCTGGATACGGTCCCCGGGCTGTATCAAAGGACCAAACCCCCGGGAATGACAACTACGGCAAAGCAGCCCACTCGTTCGTTGCCCTAGAGTTTGACAAGGTCGTGATGGCAGAATTTCTCCCGCTGCGTTCTCAGCTGGCCCCCCATACTTGAGTAGCGTCATCAGCATTGGCGTTGCACCGCTTCGTATGGCCTGCGCGTGCTTGCAATTATTCTCTCGCAGACTGCATCAGTGGTGTTCGTGTCCAGACTTCAGACGTTCACCAAGTGGCTCCTTACATGGTCGCCCGTTCGGTACGTTTCGGTAGTGAAATAGGGACGGAGCCGGTTCCGAGTCGAATCGAAACGTGGGGCCCAGAGAAGAACAAGATTACTGGGGTGGTATGGTAGCAAGACATCCCTGAAAGCACCCCAGCTGGCGGGCTCTGCCGTCTCATTAATGGAAAGCCGTCCCCTTGTCATGACAAAGGAGATCCATCTGGATGGGAACCCTCGCGACGGGTAATCTTTGCTTAGTTTGGTCATTTTTGCGAATATGACCCCTGCAAATGCGGTTGAGTGGGCCACCCAGCGATCTGGCAGGCCGAATAAGCCTGGCATTTCGTCGAGAACAACGAGTCCCGTTTCTTTCTCCCTGATGGAGACATCGTGGAGCTGTCAAACGTACGATATCCGTAAAAGCCATGTGTTGGTGCGCAACAACCTGGAGTTCGAATGTCCACCTCAGCGATCCTTTGCGGGCTCTTCTGCAATACAGGCCGGACATGCCGCTCGAGTCTCGACAGATAGGATGCGAGGACGTACCTATGTTGGAAAATTTAGCAAAAATAAAATTCTGGAGGGATTGTCAGCACAATCGTCCATAATCGCGCCGCCCGCCGACATAGCACATCGCAGGACGGATATCTGGGCCATAATCCGTGCAAATAGATGAAGGGAGGCTGAAGCAAGTCAATCGGGTCTTCTGAAACATGAGGCGTTGAGGCGAACAGACGCTCACCACGCGATGGTGATGTTGTGTCCGTTCGGGCGGACTATTAATCGATGTTATGTTCTATTTCAGTCGATTTGAAAATGTGCTAGAATCGTTTTCCCGTCAATTGTGCTGTTGCGTTCAAAGTTTTCTAGAAAGACATACCTGACAGCTACCTGAAGCTTCGGGGAAAATGTTTGGAGTCGGCGGGCGCCATTCCAACCTAAGTCGCGGATGAACGCCTTCGGGAGCAATTCGGAGCATACACTGTTGTGACACGGGGTATTTTTAGGGTTCCATCGTTCACTCCCCCGTACATCATTCCTTGTCAATGCGGTCAGAACGGACCTGGATCGTGTGGGTATGACAAGGCAAACCTCCACAGCAGCCCGTGAATCCCCTTTTTGCCCTTGAAAGGTGGAGGAGCAAAAGTGCGCGGTGAAGCTGGACCGCGTTGACCGCTGCCATGCCCGGTGGTACTGAAAATCGCTGGTTCGGACAAATCAGAAGGGCGGCAACGTGAGCGTATGTATTGTACTTGGCGCCGAGCGATGTGCAGACGGGAAGCAAGATCGATTTGGGAACGGCAGCGAGTCAAGATCGCGCATGCTGCTGGCGTCTGCAGTGCCGACCGATGCAAATTGCATCTGGCCGCATCGGCGAGGCGGGCGAGCTGAGGGGATTCGGACATGGTCCAAAGAAACGACAGCACTCATGTATGCAGTTTGCTTGACACGATGTTGTCAGCCAATGGGGCGTACGCGTTGTCAGGCGTAGGCAGGCACACAGACAAGCATCTGGAGCCCATCAGCTAGCACTACAAAGTGCTCCAGCATGAGTCCAGTGGGAAGATCATCCTGTCCCGTTCTGCGGGTGGGCGTGTGCTCCGGCGCACAGGGCAGCGGGAACGTGCAATGATGGCGGTAGATTGTGATTGAATGATGATTAGTGATGTCGGGACCGCCCAATGGCTGAGGCTTTTGGAAGATTGGTCGAAGGCTTCCAAGGAGCGGAGACGAGCAGACAACGGAAGTTCCCAGCTGTCCCTCAGGGATTGATTAAGTCGACTGTGGGAATTAAATTATCATCCCCCTGAACGGAGTGAAGAAGAGTCGACTTCCGACGTCGTAGAACGATGTCGATGTATTCTCGATGGGGCTCGGTCCCGATTTGATAGCCAAAAGTCGGTCCTGGATGTCAACGCGCAGCCTGTGGCGTCCAGCCTTGGGACGACGGGGAAAAGATAACTGACGGGGGGGCCAATCCCACGACGGCAGTAGGAAGAGCAGAGTTCTTCTAGTCTGCTTCGGTTTTGCCCAGGTAGAAACGTTTAACCTCGCCGAAGAATGAGTCTGGCCAGAATTTGAAACGGCACCGAACAATCGGTCGGTTCTGTGCGTGGACCGGAAGGAACCCGCGCTTGACGGTGCCATATTGGGAACGATAAGAAGCCTGTGTGTGTGTGTGCTCGCGGAGGTTGTTTGTTGACCGGGCTCCCAGCAGAGTGTCCATTGAAGTGTCCGATGTACACGGGCATGGCACATGTTTCTGTGGAAGGGTGGTCGAGTACGAGGGCCGGCTACTTGCACAAGTGCCTAAATGATGGATGTCCTTGGTGTGCTTGCTGGTGCTTGGTGTGAGTGGTTGGATGGGGGTGGGATAGGAGAGGCGCCATCGGGCGCATGTGCGGCTTGCGCATATGCGTGGCCCAGATACCGGCGATGGCCATCGGTGAAGGTGAGGTTGGTGAGTTTGTTGTCTCCCCTCGGATTCATCACATATCACATCGGAAAGGGTCGTCGTTGGCGGATGTTCGCAGCAGTTGTCATGCCCGGGTCTATGGCACCGGTCAAGACGGGTGTGGACGGTTAGCAAATGAGAAATCTGGATCGGAAAAAGCCTCCCCGCTCCATCTACCAGTTCCTGGATGGGAACCAATGGGAAGGGGCAGTGTGGAAGGGGTCTCCTCCGGAAGGAGAGATGCTCACGGATAATTGGGCCCAATATTCCGTGAGGCAGGCACGGCGCACACCGCACTGGAGCTTCCCAGCTTGATTGTCTTCGTACCGTCCTTGTCTTTCTAGCTGATTCTTAGGGGTAAAAGTAAGGTACTTTGTCATGGAAGGTACGGATATCTGTCCCAAATACGGCATTCAGACAGATCAGACACAGATACAGATACCCCGTACGGAGTACTCAGTCCAGAGAACAGGGCAAGGTACAGCCGAGACCTTGCACTTGCTTTCGCTTGCAACTTGCAGGCAAACAATTCATCAATCCAATTCACCTTGGAGATGGAAAGTGGGCCTCTGCTTACGCCAGGCGTCCCTTACCTAGTACACAGTAAGGCTCAAGGTCCAAGGCCAGCCAAGGGTCAATGTCACGGTTGGGCGGGCAGGGCAGATTCGAGACCGGGGGCCAGGGGCCGGCCCAGACAGGGAGTCGACGACATTCAATGCAAGTCACACTCGCTGTCCGTCCTTTACCTGCTTCCGACTATGACTTGTCGGTTTTGCAGCCTTGCCAGAGTGAGGTTGGGGGGTTCTGTTTTCTGCAAGGTCACAATAAGATTACACTTCTATTTTCTCTCTAATCTCCTTCAGTACCGGTGTAGAAGCAAGCCATCGGCATGTAGCCCGTGTGTCAAGTGACGTCTGGGCGGAACTGAGGACGTAACGGCGTGCGGGAATCGGAACTTGTTTTCGAACGTTCTGGGGGCGTGATATCGTGCGAAGACCTGAACGGCAAGGTCGGTGAGCCTTTGAGGAACTACCAGGAGACTAGAGATGGCCGTCTCTGAAGCCAGCTGTGTCAGGCTGCTGGAGCCCGCTGTCTTCTGCTTATGCTGGCGGCCCAGCCCATTGCTGATGGAAATGGGAAGTCTGGGCTAGAGATCCACGGCTTGGGCGAAAGCAGACTAGTGTTATGAGCGTAGTGGCTATTTGTGTCCCGTCTGAGAGTCGTTGATTCCATTGTTTACCTTACCTAACTTTGGTTTGACGTTTTATGAGGGGATAGGAAGAAAGTGCGACGAGAGAAAAGAGTAAGGAGGAAAGGAGGCTGGCCGCTAAGAAAAATGGCAGGTGCAAGTGAGACGGCAGGCGCAAGTGCAAAGTGCAAGAACCAGTTGCAAAGTCACCCAGTGGCTCTTTTCCCTTCAACCCGACCTCAACCCGCGTATCCACTTTTCGGACCTTAATGGAAAGAACCAGCTGCACCACTTGCTCATTGGCCAGCTAGACCTTGGTCATAGGAAAGCTTGGATAACCGGGGCACGTACCTGGCTCCATTAATACCTAAGGTAATAAGGAAGCTACCTAGAGAGACGACTTGCCTTAGGTAATACTGCGGATAACTCCCAAATCACTAGCCACAACCACACAACCCGAACAAAATTGCTGTAGTTTTCACTTTTGAGGCTAAGGCACCTCAGTAAACAATGCATCTTATGCACATCTCAGACTTGTGCTAGCCAGGCTCCTCTCTGACGGACGTATGCAGATGCCATCTAATCAGGACGCATCAGCTTCTGCGTCGCACCTCGAGCTGGCGCCCCTGCCATGCGTGCCAGATGCCAATCGCACCAAAGGACTGAAAGTCTGAAGACGATGCACGCGCCAGGCCGGGTACAAGCAGAACGCCCTCCACACCATCACCACTGACCACCACCCTGGGTCTGTCGGTCAAGCCTACCGCGGTAAGCTGGATTACCTATCGATGCATACAGATACACGCCATCGGGAGCTCCATACCGATGGTTATGACAATGGCGAACGAACAGAATAGCGACCACAAGGGTGGAAATCCCTCATGCCATGCAGATGAGAGTCGGTACCGTGCATCCCCGAGATCGATACCCAGCATCGGCTACGAGATCTGGGCAAGCAAACCAGCAGCCTCCCGCGCCTCCCACCATCACCCGACCCTTGCCGTTGCCGCTCTCAGCCAACCAGAGACAACCGCCGTGTCGACAAGAGCGCCATGTGCAATCCCGACCGGCCTGGAGAGGCGTTCCGGTGACCCAGATCCAAAGCTGGTGACGGCGATGGCGATGGCGATGCATATTGCACGACAAAAGAACCAACCGTTACAACACAATATACGCCATTTCATGCACTTCATAACAAGCAAACACCGACCCCGCCCTGGCTGGTCCGTATCACTTCACGAACCAGCACGCATCCATCTTCCCTAGATATGCACTTGGACCATCCAACAACACAGCGACCTCAGACAAGCCAACGATGGACTACGGTGCCATCTTCTATCTAGCCTGATCCCGTGCGAACGTGCTCATGGAGCTCGGGGCTTTCTGCACCCAGCTTGGCTTCCTACGTCCAAAAGGCAGTATAGTCGCCATCACAAGCGCCAAAACCAACCATGTACTGTGCGCTGTCATTCTTGTTCGGCGTTGCGACAAGCATGCATCAACCAACAAAGAGCCCGTTGGCTGGTGGCGTGCAGCGGTTGTCGTCCTTGCCAGCCCTAGACACAGACTGTTGGCCTATCGCATGGGCCGCTCTGCGCTGGGAGAGGCCGTTGTATCGCCGGAGGAATCGGTACCTGCAGTGGGCGCAGAGTCCGCGTGGTTGCTCTGGCTAACATGCTACTCTAGCGCAAAGTGTCTGGGGGATCGTCATGCTGGCCATTGCTGAACCGCAGAGCAAAAAAGAGCAGCAAAGCCTAGTAATGAGTAACCCGAGAGACACGACTGGATTCTGGCCCAGAGTTCGCAGCTGTGACGGGATCGGCCTCGCACTGCATTCTCACCATATCAAACAAACCCAGCCAGCAGGGGGCGTCTGGGAACCGGGATGCCGTCAACCGCCGCGCCAGGGCCAGCAGGTGATCACGCTGCGCTTTGCCATCTGAGCCAGTTGAGCCAGTCGGAGTGCGGACTACTCGAGGAGTGAGTTAAACAGATAGGCGACCCAAACCAAGGGCACTCGAAGCAACATGCAGACTGTATTCTGGACTGAATATCCATCCGGCACGTCCCTTCAAAGGACGACAGGCACCACAGCTGCAACGTCTCTTCCTTACAATACGGAGTACATCTCGAACGTCAGGCTCATGAAGACACCATGGCCCCTGTCGACCCATCAGTCAGCACCCGGGCTTCCGTCTCGCCTGGTCTGCACTCCTGTGTATGATGTGCACCCCGTTCCGACGGAACCCCAACTCAACTCTTGGGGCGCAGCAACTTGAGGCGACACCTGACAAGGAGCCTTCATGACAGTTCCTGAAGAGCCAATCGCAAGTTGAGGATGCGTTTGACAACGTGAGCAATCCCATCTTTGGTTCCGATCAACCTCAGATCAACCATACCGTGGTCGCACCTTACAGCCAATCGCAATTCTTGTTTACCTAGATCTCACGAACCTTCCAGCCCTTCGAGCTGTCATGCACACGCCTGGAGCCGTTTCTGGGACCTGTCAAAGGGATTGTGAGCAGAAAAAACATCGTGGGACCCCAGGCAATACCGTCGCAAGGATTCGCCACGGCCGCCAGGGCAAAACATTGATGCTACTCGGAACCTGCCACTTCCTTTCCAGCCACAGACAGGCCCAGTCAATCGTGGTGCTGACCGGGGCCACATGATCACCGCGGTAGATCTACGTTTTTGACAGCTCTCCCTCGCGCGGACGGCTTCGGCTCCGGAGGCGCTGCCTGTGTACCCTGCGACAGACGACAGACTCGGCCCCTTCCTGGAGTTGAGGCTTGACGATTGAGGCGCCAATACCCTGATTAGCTTGCTTCCGAAAAAAGGTCTTCTACCAGAAGTTGAAACGGTAGTCAACGGTCTTGACCAGAATGCACTTAGTGCGTCTCTCTGACTCGGTGGTTCTCTCAGCCCTGAGTGCATCCTCAACAACGCAACGGCGTTGCTGAAGAAAAAGTAAATAAAAAATTACACATTCTGTGGGCGGCTTACAATGGGCGACGAATAGGATATGGAGCCAGAAAGAAGACGCCTTGAGCCGCATGACACGCTGCACCTCGATGCTTTGCGGGGAGAAAGACCAGGGAGGGGGGAGGGTTGAGTGACAAAAGTTACACTTGTCAAAGTTTGATCATCACCAATCGCAGACCAGCAACTCTGCTCAAATGGATGCTTCGTTTTGAAGTCAGGCCTGCAAACACTTCCTGATAAGGCAAATGTCAGAACGATCCGATAGCTAGACGTGACCCGTCATGGACAGCCGCGCCGCATACATCGCACGCAACTGTTCCAAAACACTCGGACGGAAGAAAAGCATCCAATGGTGAATGCCGTTTCAGTCTACATCGGTTGTCCTTGAGTCGAGGTGCCATGGCTTTTGTTGACAAGCACAGCCACCATCATCGAATGTTGCGGACGAGGCATCAAGCCAAGTTGGAAGCTCAGCGACTGGTTGAACCCAAGAACACCCAGACACACCCACGAGGGAAGTTTGGGGCACGTCACAGACGTCAGCTGCGACCGGGCGATTGACGGGTGGCTTGAAGAGTCAAAGGCAAAGGGAAAACAACAACAGAGTTCATCGGCTTGGTTTCTTCAACCCAAAGCTTGGGAAAGCTTGGGATGGACGTTTGAATCGTGTTCCCTGCCCTCTCACTCGTCGACAGACTCGCGCGGCTATGTCAAATACTTGAGCCTGCGACGCTCGCGGACCTTATTCAGGACTCGCACAAGAATGCGATACCTGAATAGCGTTAGGATTGGGCTGAAGGGGGTGGGCGTGTCAGCGGCGGATGGCATAGCCGCTCTAGCGCACAACTCAACCTTTGCTTGCTTACCTCTCCTCCCATCCAGGAGACTTCCGGACCCGCCCTATTGTTTAGGATGGCTGTTAGACAGGAATTTTGGGGGAGGGGAGGGGGCGTGGACGGGATCGAGAAAAGACAAGCAGGGGAGCGCCATCACGTCAGGGCTCCCCTGGCTGCTACTCTCCTGGCCTACCCCCCAGTCCCCCCTCCATGAAAACATCGTCTGTCCATCCATTCACCTTATCCGCAGGCACACTCGTCAGACACACCACCAATTTGACACCAGACATGCACACACGCGCATATTGGCATACGAGCTCGAACCGGAACTTCAACAACCAGTTGCAGAACCATACGCCCCATTGCAGCTTTGTGACACACCACCATTCGCTTTCGTGACGGGAGTTCCCTTTCCTGTCAAGATGTCTCCAAGTCATGACATGTTGGACGTATGCCTGACAGTGTTGAGAGTTGTCTCACTCCCTGACCATGTGCACAAAAAAGAAAGCTGCTGGTATTTGCAGAATTAACGGCGCCTCCCTGGGTCGAGGGCGCGAGCACGAGCGATGGATTTCGCCCATCAACAACAAGATGCTAAATCGAGAGATTCGAGAGCTCGAGAGTTACTAGTCCTCTTCTACGGCTATGTTGACCAGTCTTCAAGAGCCGATTGCTCACGGACGATGAAGGTTGGTCCAGCAAGAGGTTCAGGAAAATTCAGGACTCCCGCTGTCTTCTATTTTGGACTGCTGAGCTCAGACGGCAGTTGTTCGGCGGGTCAAGAACGCCATCTTGAATAACAGATAATTTCTTGGGGGTGATCGCTGTATTGCCGTTCACGACATCCGGGACCTTGATTCTCAAGGTTGGAGGGTGGTGGATAGAGCCGACAGGGCCTTCACTGCTCGCCCTTTATCGCTTTTGTTAGACTTCATCTTTCTTTCGGTAATGCTATGGGCACTCATTCATGTCAACATTGGACAGAATCTGTCGTATACTGAACCCATCTCCGGTTTACCATGTTCCCTCGCTGAACCTGCTCCGATCAGGAAATGACGGCCAGCCGGGTCAGAGGCCGTTACGTACCAGAGTAGGAACCAGGCCACCAGTGCCAACCCCCGGTCTAGTTGATGGGGGCCTATTCTTCATTTATGTCAATTGTGCAAATCTCTATTTTATCCTCGATTCTTATACAAAGACTGCCTACGGAGACGGAAGTCTTATTCACTTTAATCCATCATAGGACCTGAGCGCGGCCAGAGCGTTACAAGCGACAATGAAGGGGCTTGGCTGGGAAGGTGAGGTAACTGGTTGAAGCCAGCGCGCCAGTTGCATATGTGATGGCACGTTGAATAGTGTATCCGTAGCAGGTGGTCAAGTCGTTGGAGTAATGCAGCGCCATTGACTCTTGAGTACTCCGTACCAACTGAAGTGTCTCCATATCCATAATCCGCCGCCGCCGCGCGCGCCCCCCCTTCGGGCAATTTCATCTACACTACGTACATCACAACCGTCCTGGCCCCGGGTGGGAGCCCACGAGCAGCCGGGGAGCACAAGTAGACCCCTGCCCACAGACGCTACGGCTTCCCTAGTGGCTCTTGTTCGTGTCACTGTTCGAGCAGGCTAGTGCTTCTCCCATCTCTTCCACTCTTCTTCTTGTATCCTGGTCACTTTCTTTCTCGTTCAGACCCCTATCCATGCTGTCCTGCTGGCACATCCTCAAGTACCACCTCGAGCTAGCATAATCAGTCCGTTGCCCGCCAAAGGGAACGCCACCGAAGCAATCCTAGGACCAGGCCCTGACTGGGGTGTGGGTACGGACGGTGTGGTCCTGCGACCCTGGTCGAGATGGGCAATCCCATCCTCCTTCTTGTTCCTCATCGACGGCCTGCTTGTACCCTGATCGTCCTCTTGCCATGCCACCCTTGCCCATGCCTCGCAGCTCTGGGCTAGTTCAGGTTTAGTCTGTTCCGTCAAAACCATCCTCCCTCCCCCACATCAGCAAAGGCCTCGTTCCCAGATACATAGCAAGGCATTAAGCATCCGTGGGCTGTGCGCTTCTTCCTCTCCAGACCAGTCCAGTTTACTTTGCTCTACTACGGATACCTCACAAGCACAAGTCTACCTACCAATCTACTCTCAGTCAGAGTCTCCACGGTCCGATTCACAAGAACCTACTAGTTGGGGGCTCTTTCGTCTGAGGCTGGTTCGTGTCAGTTTCAGTGTGCTCAAATCACCGTCTTAATTTGTCCAATTTGGCCCGTCGCCGGGTCCTCCTCTTCCTCCTCCTCGACACTTCTCTCCCATTTCCTATTTTGGCACCACATCTGTGCACCGTTGCCCGTTAATCTTCCTGCACAAGACCTCTTCCCAAGCTCCAAGATATACAAAAGGACTGCCATCCCACCTTGCATCTACCTCCAGCATCACCGACCATCATCCCATTCGAGCTGCTTGTTGATTCACGGCTGGGACCACTTGACCATCACATCAGCATCCTTTTATCGCTTCTACTTCTTCACGCCTCTGTCTGTCGTTGACGAGCAATACCAATACTACTACTATTCGACCTCGCCGCCGAACAAGCTTCATCAAGCAAGATACAACAAGCAATCGTTCTCCGACGTGCTACTTTCACACAAGAAAAAAACGAACTTTCCTGGCTGGACCGTATTAGGTACAGCTTACTCGCATACCTTTCTCCACATAAGAACCTGGGCTGATCAGCAGCAGTCCTTAAAACCGCCGTGCGGCTTCATCATTCGAGTCCGCCAATCTTCTTTTTAACCCACAGGATCGAGCACCCAAAGTGTCTCGTCCGCAACGGTCGTGTCTAAAAGACTTTCATTCTCAAAGAGAACAGCACAAGATGTCTATGCTCGCCATGGCTGCTCCGTCCCCCCATTCAGCATTCAAGAACTACCCCTGGGATGGCGGCAGGACTTCCTCAGACTACTCCTCGCGCCCTCGTACTGAGCCCGAGAGAATCGCCTTGCCATCAATTCGTCAGGTATGACGATTCTCGCCGCCCACAGAGGCGTTTGAACACACAACTGACTGGTATACAGGCCATCCCAGAACTCCACCTTCGCCTGCAACCCCAGGAGGCATCAACCACCAGA